GAAGTCAATGGACAAAAATGAAGTCTCACATTGATATTTAGACTTTTGAAACCAATACAAGTGTGTTCACACATGTACACTCACACTGCCCCTTTAAAAGAGGCACGCAAGTTCAGAAGGTTTCTTCACACAGCTTAAATATATAGAATGTGGAAGCTTTTGCAAATGTCTAGTGCAGTCTTCACTTTTATGCATACTCAGCTTAATACAGAGTCCCTCACTTTAATGAATTTCCTGATAAAACACTCCTTTTCCATCTGTTTTTCTTGTGTATTACATTTAGAAATGAAAACAAAATGGTATTAGTGCCTCTAGCTCAGCAAAATTGAATGTGTGCTATATGATATGCCATAATGACGGTTACTTTTGGGAAATTGCCTGCTAATTCCTTTTGCAGACCCAGGGATTTCTGGGTACTCATAAAAGTGAGTAGATCTGACTCAGTTTTACACCCTTCAGTCAGCAGCTCCATCCTGCTGTGCCACGTTACTGCTGCCCTGAATGGGCGCACAGGCAAGTCCAGGGTGTGAATAATGCAACCTAACAGTAACAGTTTGCATGGTGACAAGAGATGAAGATGCTTTTGATCCATCCTCAGTGAAAGGCACTCCCTCTGAGCAGTGCTCATTTCCTACTCCAGTCTCCACCTCAGGCACTATTACCCTGTTTCCAAATTAGAGTACAGACTTTGACTCGGTCAATGAGCAAGCAACTGTGCTGGTTTAAAACATAAATATTTCTTTTTTTTTCTTGCCCTCATTTATTTGTATTGCCCTATTTCTAGGAGTTAATGACCTAAAAGAGTGGTAGAAGATTTCTCCTGTTCATAATCTAGTGTTTCAGTGAGAAATGTGCTCCATGTGTGATCTGTGATCCAGATGGAATGCTGCAAAAGGGAGAGGGGCTCCAAGACCTTCGTAGAGGTCATGCTGACTGCTGGGAAGCTGGGAACTACAAGCGGAGCAACACAGCACAGACCTATCATGGCCCTGACCTCTCAACAAGATTTGCAAGAGGTCATTTGTCAAAGGCATAATCTATCAGTGGGCTTATTTTCGTGATGGCAAAACCATACTTCTAGAGAAGAGCAGGGAGCAAGCCCCTCTACAGGTACAGCAGCCTCTTTATGGAGGTGTTTATGGTGTCTGTATATGGAGGTAATTTCCCATCCCCCTTTGCAAAACAGCTCATCTATTGAATGTAATTTAATCAACAAATGGAGTTGTCCTTAGCAGGGTATCTTCATTTGAGGAATAATTCCTCTTTGTCAGAGATGGAGCTACACAACCACTTTTATTTGATTGAAAAAAAATAGCCCAATTAAATACATAAATGTTTAAGTGAATCCTTTGGACATAGTTCACTTAATAAAAACCAAATAAATATCAATTTTTAAAGAGAGCAGTAAACTGCTGGATATTTCACACTGTCAGCTCAGGTTTTCTGGAAAAGAATACTCAAACCCACTTAAATTAGAGGCATAGTTATTTTTCCTGCAGCCTTTTTAAATACTACTTTGGAATCTACACAGAAATGTGTGTGTTTGGCAGGGGTGGAGGGAGGGGTCCCCTCTTCACAATATGGGCCATCTCAGCACTATTTGCAGTGCCTATTAGTCTAATGCCTTTTCAGAGTGCCTGAAGACATGGCATTTCTTATCTGGCACACCCACTAAAGATTAGCCTTTTCTTTTCTGGGTTCTTAGCATTGCTATTTATTTATTCTCTCTAGTTATGAGCATGTTATGGGGGCAGGAGTTTGTCATGTTTTCATTAAGCAAAATTTTTCATTTAATTATTTATTCTAGCATATTTCTGGTTGACATTACATATCACAGTGCGCAATTCAGCTGCTTCTCAAGAGAGTTCTTGCAGTCCCTCATCTGTACCTGCCTCTTGTTCTCCTTCATCCTCCTCCAATATAGATTGCAGCTCCTGGCTTTTATTTTCTACCTTCAACCTCTACCATTTTTCCTCCTTACTTTTTCTAAGTCCAGAACAAGCATCAGTGCTGAACCCCCACCTTTGCTGGCTCTGTGGTCAAACCTGTTGAGCTTTGACCCTCTCCCAACTGTACACACATGTTCCCTGTAGCCCAGGCTGCAGCACTTGCTCTGCCATCCTGGAAGAGGAGGCTGAACGCTGTCTGCTGATCAGCATTCCTGTGAACACATCTCCTTTGAGAGCAACCACAAGCTGAATTATCCTCTCTGTGTCATCCTTACTGGCACCCACAGCAGCAGGGGGTGCAGGACCAGCACTCCCATCATCATCTTTTCTCCCATTAGCAAACCAGTGCAGGGCTCACAGAAGCTCAGATTTTCTGAGAGCAAATTTTGAATGCAGTGTGGTTTTTCAGACAACCCATTTCACTGGCTCAGGAACAGAAAGCATATCATTGCAGCTTAATCAAATTAAATATTCAAATTAAAGTAATAATTACTTAAATTTGTCTTGAGACTTAGTAAGATTAAGTCTTTGAAACATCATTTTTGGCCTGTAGGCTATAATGAGTATGCCAGTCCCTAATGATTCAGAAGAGACCTAGAGGGCTGGGGTTATCACCAACCAAGAGGTATTTATGAAAGACTAGCAGCGTGGTTATTAAATGGCCCTCGGACAGTACCTCTTCTTTACAGATGGTTTTGATAACATACCATCAAACAGACACTGACATTAAGTAAAAAAAAAAAATCATAGCCAAGCATTTAAGTTCACTGCCAATGTACGTGGAAAGGAGATGTTTAGTGGCAGGGCTGCCTAGCAGAAATCACTGCAGCAAATTTCAGCTCTCATTATGATCTGTTAATTAATGTGTTGACATACGACTGCAGCAGATCAGTGAGACCAGCCCTGCTGTCAAGTCTAGGCATGTGTCACAGAGGGGCTGTGTGCTCCAGCTCTAGGAAACACAGAGAGACTTCACTGTTAATGCAAGGCTTCTCACGGTCCTTATGCGTACCTGGAAGGAAAGCTGCCAGATGATATTTTTCACATTGGTCTCTTCACTGACTTTTAAGGCAGAGTAACTCAATTTATGCAAGTATCTGACTCATGAGTCAAGACTGAGACAGTGAAGGTGGTCTTGGAGACTGCTCTGACTGTGGACAGTGTTTAGGGGTAACTGCTTGTAACTGCTCAAGTGCTTTGAAGAGCTCACACTGTCACAACGCTCACCTTCTGTGACTCTGCAGAGAAATAACCTGGAAGGTAACACTCTTCTGCACCTGGGAACAAACATGGACACAAGCTGGAGCCCCAGAAGCAGAGTTGCTCACATGCTTGGCATGGAAGAGCAGGAACCAGCGTGCACCAGTGAGGTGCAAGCTGGCCTTTCAAAGGGTGCACTGCTCAATGGGCTGGCCAGGAACTACTTCAGGCTCCCACACAGGATTGGCCATGGGCAGGGATGAACCTGAATCTGCTCTGCAACAGTTACTACAGAGTTTTTCCTGGTCTTTCTACTACATCCTTTGACACATCTTGCCATGGAGCAGGGAATCTAAGTTCTGGAACATATTTTTTTTTTCTGGTAGTTAACTACACATTTCTGTTCTTATTGCTCTTTCTCCTCTGTGTTTAAATCTTTCTATTATTAGGTGAATAAAAAATTTGCAGGAACTTTTTATACTTTGCTGAGGAGTAAATTTAATACCAACAGCACAGAAGGATATTAGAGTTCAGAATAACAAGGTAAAGCTTCTACAGTACATTACACATCCCCTGAGCAACGCCATATGTGGTTGCTGATAAGACATCAGTGGCACTGTAGTGATAGGTGCTAATAGTGGTTATGAGAATTTCTGGTCCCCTACCAGATCAAATGCACTCAAAACACCACAGGAATTCTACAGGGGGAGTGGTCTGGAGCATCTCTCCCAAAGCATTAATTTTTAAACTGTCAACCTCAATTCTATTGCACACCTTGACAAGAAATACCTCTGAGATGGAAACAAATCTTCTTATCCTGAAATCTGACAGGAACATCAGTGTAAAATCATGAGATGATGCAGCAGGCTTGTTTTTAACCCATTAGACCATTTTTATCTACTATTCCTTACACTGGGATTACTGTCAGGCCCTTCACAAGTCCTGCACGCACACCTATGTAAAGAATTTCTATGCTTAACTAAGGTTCAGCTTGCCAGAGCTGGAAATGGGGAGCTCTGTATGTTTAAGAGCAGAATCTCTCAAGTCTGTGGGGAGTCAAGGTGCTCAGTCTCTCCTACTCCTTCAGGAGGATTGCAGATCCCCCTCTTCCTCAAGCGGCACAGGGACCTTATAGACAAGGGATTAGCAATTGCATTGATCCTTCCAGCTAAAAAATTCATTCAACATGCATTCAAATATCAGATCCTGATCCTCCATAATTGCTTTATCCTCAGGTCTCTGCTGTTCCCTTGTTTTCTAGAGCCCCTGCAGAGAAAGCAGGTGTGAGCCCGGTGTGGCTGCACCCCTGGCTCTCATTCCAGGTGCAGTGCAGTCAGCAGCAGTAAGACAAGTAGCTTGTTTGGGAGAAGGCAAACAGAGGGTGCAAGTATTATTTGCCAGCTTCCCTAGGATGTGAGTAACATACAAATACACTCTAGGCTTGTGCTAGAAGGCCATAAACATCCCAGAATTCAAAGACAGCCAATTGCACCCATGGAGAATTACCTTGACCTGAGCTGTGATGGGATGCCTCTGTCTACCCTGTCAAGACCTCCAGGAGTGTTAGCTCCCATATTGCAAGACCATTAAATCTGATTTATTTCTTAAAATATGCATCCATACATACATATATACATACATTTTCTTTTATAATGTTCTTTTGAAAAATATTTCCAGAGATCCATCTGAAATCCCCTGCCTCAGCACCGTTCCAGAATTATTCAATATGATTAGCCTACCACACACTGGTAGGTTGCTTCCCCAAGCCTGTGCTTTTAAAATCCTAGTTTGCTTTTATGGCCAACACATAGAAGAGTCTAATGTGGCTGAGATGCTCTGGTGATGACTCACCCAATTCAAACTGGTTGGAAAGGTTACCACAGGTTTGTCTGACTTCTTCACTGTCCCAGCCAAGAGGATAGAGGGCACAACCAGAGCCGATCAACAAACCTGTGGAGAGAAAAGGAAATAAAAGTTTATACAAGCAATTGCCATTAGCTTAAACACAGGCTGCCACTTGGGAATCAAAGTGTCAAACTGCAATTTGGAAATCCCAGAGAAAAAGAAGTCTCTTCTTCTAAAAATAGATGAAAACCATTTGGACTGATGCCTTCTGCTGCAGTGCTTTAGAGGTGGTCTGTGGGATGGAGCCAGTCTGAGCAGTTCAGCATCAGAAGCCACACTCAGCTTCTGAATCTTTTATCTGAGAGCTTTTAGACTCCTCTTCTACACTTCAGAATGGCTTAATATGCAGTTTGGAATACACAATATGTGGTTTAATAGAAGTGTGTTAATGCCAGCATTTACAAGCTGATTGCTTCTGATTAATTTAAACAAAAATCAATCAGGGTCCATCTAGGTTCCATCAGGAAAACTGACAGTTGTGCTAACCTGTTGCCATTTTGCTTTGTTTTTCACTCTTTCAAAAGCAAGGGAGTAATGGTTTCATACCACTTGATCAATGCATACCACAGGTACACATTCCACAAAGTTTTCCTGATTCATTCAGTGGAAGCAACTGAGGTCATGAGCAATTTGCATGTTATCATACTTGGTTTAACATTCACAAGACAATTTGCTTTCTCCAGGCCTCATGCTGCCCCAAACAGACATGTTTTGGCAAATCCTGTCCCTTCACAAGACATTACAGGGAATCAGCAATGTGCCCATGCACCATGACTGTTTTGCAGAAGTGGCATTTTTATCATATTGCATTCTCAGCTGTCACTGCAGCAGCTGCCAAAAGGCCGATGTAGCTGGCAAAGCATTTTGCACAGACAGCCTAGAGAGAACATTTCAATGTACGTTACAACATTTAAATGTTGCCTCCTTTGCATCAGATCTTATTTATGAGATTGGAAACAAAGCACTGTGTAGATAATGGGCCAGAAGCACCTGACACTTCACAGGCTGTAAAGCCAAGCAAACCCAAGGTTTGCAGGGGTGCCTTTTACCTGCTCCGTTGAGCACAAGATTTCAAGCCCTACAGCTGTCACTTGCTGCCTTTGGGCATACCTCTTGACCTCACATAATCTTACTCCTCCTCTCCTGACAATAAGGAGCAGTGCTCCATGGCAAAGCACTTCTGCTGCTGTGCTCCCAGGGCAGAAAAGCCCTGGGTGTTGTGACAGAATCACAGTGGACATCACACCAGTCTAACAGGAGTCCTGAGAGGGATGACGGCTCAGGGCCTGGAACTTGCCATTCCTTTCTACTGTTTCAGTTCTCAAGATTCCTAAGCTTCTCATATTGCTGATGTTCCTGTAAGATATGGAAATCATTTTATTATGATCTTGATTTGCTCAAAGACACAACTGAACAAGGCCCTGAAGTCCAGAAGTGGTATCTCATCTTTCTTCAAAAGATGTTTAATGCTCTTAACATCTTGGCTGTTAGCAAAACAGCTCAGCAGCTTCTCTGCTGCTCCTCCAAGCATGCCTGACCCTGTTTAAGCCAAATATTAGCTTCCTGGATCTTCCTCCACTAAGTTCAATTTTCTTCTTGCTGCTTAAGCCTACTTCCTTCCCTTGTTGAGCAGTCATTGCCTGCTCCTGTCTCCATATATACATCACATAATGAAAAAGAACCCCTGAGGCAGCCCACTCTCAGATGGAGCATTCACCCAACAGCTGTGACAGGAGAAAAGCAATTAAGGACATGTGAATGCTAGGTATTTTCAGAACTTTGCATGATCTGGGTATGGTTGCTTCTAATGTCCTCACTAATATCTTTCACAGTATCATTTCTTTTTTTTTTTCCCCTAGGGCCATAGAGCTAAGGGCAGCTGGTAGAATCCATGTAAATGAGAATCAGTTCTAATTAAATTCTCAGAAAGGATGTTTCTCAGACAAGAGAATTTAGGCCAAAACTGGGTCTACTTTTGCTAAAGACAGCTTAAGACTCTCAAAAAAGCCCCTGCTGATTGTCTCTTGAACTGGTAAAGCAAAAAAGGTGTTGTGAAGCACAGACATCATGGGTGGTGTGCTAGGAAGGGACAGGACTCCATAAGGCAAGGAGGAACATCACCACTGATTATGAGAATGGCTGGGGAAGGGAGGACGATCACCCTAGATGCCAGAGTCAGCTTCACAGACCAGTACACTGTGGCAGCCCCAGCCAGTCCTGCTGTGGTTCTGACCCCTTCCCACACTGCTCGTGGTGCCCAGTGCCAGCCCAGCCACAGCTCAGGAGCAGCTCTGCCCAAAGTGAACTGCCCAGGCTGGGCTGTTTGCAACCAACTTGTGCACTTGAACAGACTGTCTGCGGGACCTCGAGGGCAGAGAGATGTATGCAGGGGGTTGGAGGGACCGCAGGCTTGCACTCGACTGCCTTGGACCAGATTAAACTGCGGCCAGCCCTTCCCCACAAACAGGTCCTGGGAAAGCCTTCTGCCCAGTTCTTCCAGGAGAGCGAAACAGCAGCACTGCAGGCAAGTGAAAGGACTATTAGCATAACAATGCTGCTCCTCCAAACCCAGAACAAGCTCTTACTCAGCCCTTGCCAATTATTCTCCTCAGGTGGCAAGAGTGTCTAGCGCCCATTGCATTCACAGACTGTTTGTTTTCAGCTCTCTTTAGGTTTTGTTGCAGCAACAGGTTGTTGTTTGGGTTTTTTTCCCACGAGTATTGCTCACTGCACTTTCCACTGCCACTCTCCAAACACATCTCATCCTTTTCCAAACATGAGTACCTGTTCACTCTTTCTGATTCTACAGTGGATCAGTGATCACAAACCTTGGCAATTTATCTCCTTCCCTATTCAGCCCTCTCTTTTTCCATTTCTGTACACTCATATCTGTAAGTCCAAAGCCCAGTTTCAGTGAAAATAAATTCTGGGGTTCAGTCAAAAATTCCTTAGCAATGCAATATACTGTAATGTTGAATTGCCCCAAAGGAGCTCACACATGGATGCTGGCCCTTAAAGCCATTCCAACACTGTCTAACAACCAGCCCACCGCAGCCACCACTGAGCCTCACCATTAGCTGTGCCTCCTATTAAGAGATAAACCAAATAAGGGAAAACTATGTCAGAAAGCCTTCCTATCCCAGTGACAGCTGGCTCTCCAGCTGGGTAGGGGCTTTATCAGCACTGCGTTTCACTTGTGAAGTACCAGTCAGCAAGCAGTGCAGCTTCTTTTCCTCCCACAGCCTGCACTGCCTGGGATGATGAGATCAAATGCGAAACTGCTGCCTATTGCTGGTGCTGCCACATGATCCCAAAGCATGAGTGGTGCTTTATACATAAGCATGCTTATGTGCAAAGGACAAGGTATAAAGCCATGGGCAAGCTCACACACTTCTTTGTGTGAGCACCTTTCAGAGACCAACAGGGTGCCAGGAGTTTCCATCTGGCAAAAAGGCTTATATAATTTTTTTTTTTTTTTTGTCACAGGTACCCACTGGTCACAAGACTTGAAGCTGTTGCTCTGACAGGTCCTTGATATCTCTGGTTTTCAGCTGGTTTGACTGACCTTCAGACAGTTCCCTTTTGTGGTGCATATGCACCTGCTGTGGATTTGTGTCTTGACAAAACACTTGTGTCCTCCAGTACTTCTTGCAGGCAAGGTTCAGGCCAGGCTTAGGGATTTGCCATCAGCATAAGATTTCCACAAAGATTTAGAGCCGGCTAGTCAGCAAGAAAAAGTTTCACAAGCTTTGCTTTATGCCCTGAGGTATATTTATATCTGTGAGCATGTGTGTGTCATGTCCCATTGCTTTCAGCAGGATTCTACAGGATTTCAACAGGGCTGATGCTGCCTTGGTCTGCATGGGCACTGCAGTTGACAACTGGCATTTGGGCTCCCTTATTTTATGCATTGAAACTGTGGAGTGTGCCTCAAAGCCTGTGGTCTTAATAGACTCGGACAAAAGCTCCTCAGTCCCTTCCTTCCCTTCTAATCAACACATCCCTGTTTGTAGGCAACTGAGTGGATCAGATCCTGCAAAAGCAAAAAGGCTGCATACCATTACCACTAATAATTCATACACGCTCACAGTCAATTTATTTAATCACAGAGGATGTAGATCCTGCTGAACAGCTGCAACATTCAGTGAAAGATCTGAGTTGAATCCAAGGGCTGCAAACCCCGTGGAAATCATTTAGCTAATTTTGCAGCTTCAGTAAAGAGCAGTTACTAGTTTAGCTCAAAAGTCACTCTCTGGCCTGCTCTACAGTTATTGCATTTAGCCAGCTATGCTACCCAGGATACCACACCCATCTTTACAGCTGCTTAAAATGCTTAGGATGCCTATAACATTTTTTTTAAAAGGAAGAAAACCAAAACCAACAATCTGCTGTAATTATCACCCTCTGTCATCTTCCATTATCCACTACAGTCATGAAAAGAAATTGAAAGGGGAGGGAGATGTGCAGATCCCTAAATGGCACATTCACAAAAGGGGCTGCAGCCTCGAGGTGTGAGGGACCCAGTCAGTGGGATGGGGTGAATCAGCAAGTGGAGGTGCTGGTGGCATTTGGCAGCTTTTTTAGATTATGTACAATGTACCAGTGGAGGTGTTGGCACTGTCAGAGACCAGCTTTTCTGGAGAGGTTCCATATTTGGGAATGAAACAGGCTCCTTGCCTTACTCTGTGAAGCACTGCTATTGTGAATGCTGCATCTGGCTCAACGTGCTAGCAAGGCATGGGGAGAGACATGCAGGGCTGACTGAGCACAACCAGCCTTGGCAATCCAAAGCTGGAATTAAGACCTTGGCTTCAGTATTTAAGAGGGTCCCAGACAGCCCCTAGGCTCTTTGCGTGGTCCATGCAGAATGATGGATCCCTTCAAAAAGCCTACATGGCTAAGTGAGGAGCTGCCCAGACCTACAGGTTGTAAAACTGCAAACCAGGGGGTCAGACAGTGGATGCCTTAATATTAAACAATCCTTGTCCCTTCCAGACTGCCTTCCCTGTCACTCTTGCTGTGAGTATAATGCATGATCATATTTT